TATATATATAAAGGTGTTTTAAACCCTGCACACTTTTGCAATATTCTAAACAATGTTTCTAAACCCTAAATTCTCTAAAAGAGCACAGCATGTCATGATTTCAGTTCACTGCCTCCTGCTGCACTCTGCCGTCTGCCAGCACTCTTGGCCACGCCCACTTCCCCGCTGCAGAGCTGCGATCTGACACGCTGCAGGAGGAAGCTTTTTCTGCAGCTCTGGGCTGCACACAGGTGCAGCAGGTGCTAAATAATTTTAAATGATTTATTTAAAATAAAAATTCCATGCTGATCCTGTGACTCATCCATCAATCAGCCAATTGTGTGTCATGTCCAATCTTTTTTGAATAACCGCGATAGAGCGAGTCTGCGAAAAATGAACTGTGAAGTAACAAGGGACTACTGTAACTCCAGTCTGATCAATTTTGTAGTGGTTCATGCAAACACTATTTTACAAACTGCCATTGCTCTCATTTTTGCATTTTTATTTAGATAAATATTAATATAATAGTCTTGGACGAAGCATCCAGCTAGAGCTCTATGTAAATTACCATTAAATGTAAAACTGAGGGCTTTGTAATAGTGTAAACCTTATTTTGTAAATCTTTAAACTGCTTTCAATTTTGCAGTTGTTACTGTTCACTGGTTTGAAAGCGCTAATAGCTGTAACAGCAGTAGCAGGGGCCCTTCTGGTGCAGCCTGGTGCACTTTCTAAACTAATATGTAAACATTTCCCAATGATTGTATAATGCAAATATGACGGGAGTGTATATGTTTATAAATCACAGATTGCACGAACTGCAGTAACCCCGTTTGGTCTCAGCTGTGCTCAGATTAGCCATCAACTTGTCATCCTGGTCTGAAATTAAATATTTTTTTTCCCGTTTCATCTAAAACAGGTAAGATATTTAAAATCTTTACACCATACATTTTAGAACAATTCTGAACAATCAGTTTAAAGGGAATATTTGACCCTAATGTGATCGTGTGACCACTCTGCCTTTGAAAAACGCATATTTGGATCATTTTAATGACCTAAAACACAAACACGAGGCAAAAAAAGACTAATTATTTTATTGTCAAAAATCTTGAAATGCATACATTACACACACACACACACTGCTCTGGATTTTGTGGCTGCACAACCACACACCTATTAGTTGATCTCAGTGTTTCAGGAAGCATACAGATCCTTGGAATAAAGGAAACACAAACACTCGTCTTTTTAAAAGATAAAACAATAAAATTAAACTGAATCATTCTCTAGCTCTGAAGCGAATTGTTCATATAGATGGCTACATTTGCAAAATATTCATAAAAATGACACCAAATGTAAAAAGAAGATAATTTTTAGATCTATGAGGTGAGCTGTTTCTGTTTTGGTTGAATGAAGTGAAAGATTTTTCTTTTGTCCCGTTTTATGAAGCTGGTTCTCGGTTCGGTTCATCTTATTTCACTTCTTCTTGTTCACGATATTGTTGCAAATCCAGTTCATGCCATCCTGTTGAGATAAAAAAAAAGAACATCAGTAACTGCTGTATAGAGATTCAGACAACCTGAGAGCTTTAAAGTATAAGCCAAGACCTTACAGAGAGAAATTCAAATAGATTTTTAGCACGTTTTTCTTCTCCAGCAGAAACTTCTCAGTCTCTAATGAGCCCACCTGAAAGGGAATTAACTCAAGGCGTGTCGGTTCTGACCTGAACTCCCTCCCCAGACACAGCCGAGCAGGCCTGGATCTGCCACTGGCGGTCTCGGTACGTGTGCAGGTTGAGTCCCTCGGCGATCTCGCTGGCCGGCGACGCTGTGGCCAGATCCTGCTTATTAGCAAAAACCAGAACCGGAACGCCCTTAAGGTTCTCCTCATCGATCAGCTCGGACAGCTCCTGCACAGACAGCTGCTGTTAGTGGAGGAAAATTATGGGAGGTCAATATTTATTGAGTCTGACTTTCCCTCTTGATGAATAAAACCCAAGTATATATAAAAAAAGTATTTTAAAGCTTTTATAGAGTTTAAATGTACTGCCATGATTTATGGTTTCAGTGGTAAGTCTTTGTTTTGGTTTCAATTCAATCCCAATTCTTAAATTACTTTACTTCCACTTCTCACTGCCCACCGCCGTAGGCGAGATGCAACCAAATATTTGCTGCTGTCTGTGTTACTTTGCCTGTACCGTTAGCAAAATATCTCATGAATAATCAATGCATAAGCATCTCCAGTTGATTAATTTCTGGCGTCAGTTTGACCAATATTTATGGGGTGCCATTTGTAAAGTTACATAATCAAAAATTAACAGTAATAATTTGGTTTATTTAGCCGTTCATAAGAAAAAAATGTTTTTTTTCCAAAGTCATAGTTTCACCATGTTATTCGTACATTTATAAATGTCATAGTTCCAAACTAAATATTTAATGTACAAGCTAAATATTTTGTTTACAAACTAAATACTTAACTTGCAAGTTAAATATTTAGTTAGCAAGCTAAATAGTTATTTCCACACTAAACATTTAGTTTACAAACTAAATGTTTATGTCCAAGCTACATGTTTAATTTACAAACAAAATATTTAAATTGCAAGTTAAATATTTAGTTAGAACATTAAATATTTATTTTGAAAAGTAAATGTTTCATTTGGAAAATAAATATTTAGGTCCGAGCTAAATATTTAGTTAGCAAATTACATATTTATTTAGGAAATTAAATGTTTAGCTTGGAAAATAAATATTTAGGTCTGAGCTAAATATTTAGTTAGTAAATTAAATATTTAGTTTAGGAATTAAATGTTTAGCTTAGAAATTAAATGTTTAGTTTGGAAATTAAATATTTAGCTTGGATAATAAATGTTTAGTTTGGAAATTAAATGTTTAGTTTTGAAAATAAATATTTAGCTTGGAAATTAAATATTTAATTTACACTAAAATATTTAGTTCACTAACTAAATATTTAACTTGCAAGTTAAATTTGTTTTTTCATTCAACCTTTATTTAGACAGGTAAATCCCATTGAGACTTGAGGACTCAAAATTTAGTTTGTAAATTAAACATTTATCTTGGACACAAACATTTTGTTTGTAAACTAAATACTTAGTGTGGAACTAAATATTTAGCTTGCTAACTAAATATTTTACTTGCAAGTTAAGTATTTATTTTTAAATTAAATATTTAGTTTGGAACTAAGACATTTATTAATGTTAGATTGACACGGTGAAAATATGACTTTAAATAAAAAATAAAAATTCTTATGTAAGGCTAAATAAACCAAAATATTGCTATTAATTTTTTACTGTGTAACTTTACAAACGGCACCCCATAGATATTGAGCTAAAACTTGGTGTAGTATAAATGAGCACACACTCTGAGCATTAACTGGCATTAATTTTTGGTGTCAACCCTGTCTGTTAGCAAAATATTTTATGAACCATTAAATGGGTTTTATTGAAACTTTCAGAATGTCTAAAACTCAGTAACCTTTAGAATCAGCCCAGTTTAAAATGGCTGCCACTCAGATACTGAGCTAAATTTGGTGTGGTAGTGGCTGAAAGTCATCCTCAGTACACATCCTGAGAGCTAACAGATCTCTCAATATGAGGCTGAGCTCAACTTCATTTACAAGGTTTGACTCAATCAATAAGCTGTTTCATTTTTTAAATCCTGATGTGATTTCATTTAAAGCATGAAAGGTGGTGGATAATATGAAATCCTTTATTATTTATGACTTTACCCACATCTTTCCACCTCTCAGGGTGACTTTAAACACTCTCTGTCCATCTCTGTGTCTTTTACCCCACAATTTAGAGTTGACACTTTTGTCAATTTGAGTTGACACCTTCTGTTTCTGTTAAAACAAACAAAAAATCCTGTCACCTTTTTTTCCTGACTACCGTATTTACCACGTATACATCGCAGGTTTTCTTTTGCATAGATTTGTCAGTCCTGCGACTTATTCGCCGAAGCGACTAACGTACTTTTTTCCCTCTCCATATTAAATAACCCAATTTTTGACTGATGCTTTAAATTTTGAAGAACTGCAACAGTGAGTCCTCCCGTGCACACTCGCTTCATTCAGCTGGTGCAGGCGGAGGAACGCTGGAGAGCTAGCGGCTCTGGCCACGATGGATGGATAGATGGATGGACGGATGGATTAATGGATGGATGGATGGCGCTGTGCTGCCCAGGCGAAATGAAGCTGTTTTGATCATTAAATAAACGCATAATAAACACGACAGGTCAGCGGTGATGCATAATAAATGCGACTTATACTCCAGAGCGACTTATATGCTGGAAAATACGGTACCGTCCCCTGCCTGCTTCTGAATCCTGTCCCTCAGTGGATCCTGACTTTGGGATCGGGACCCCCATCATGGATCCTGACATACCAAGCAGGGTGTTTTAAGAAAACCTCCACAATCTTCAACCTACATGTTATCACTAAAACATTAATCAGAAGTAAATAAAAATGGTATCGTATTTGTACTTGTTTCATATTGTTTAAGTAAAGTTTGTAGATTTACTGCAAACCAACAATGAATGAAGATTTGTCTCCATCACTCTTGCAAGGTAAAACTTTTGGGAACAAAGGCTTTAGCTCATGCTTTTAGCAATGTATTGGCACCAATTCATGTCATAAGTGCAGTTGAAAAGTCTTATTTTGTTACAGTAAATTGTTAACTTAAAGAATATTTATGATTCCAATCTTCACAAGTCACCTCAGAGTGTGCCCAGAGAAAACTATCTTAAATCAGACACTCAGGATTTAAGGTCTGATGAGGCCGAAACATTAGCATGATTTTCTTTGATTTGGCCTCAAAATAAAATGGGTGTGAAAGAGAGAAGAACTATTCTTGTCGAATAAGATTTAAATGGCTGTCTTTGTGTTCTGAAGATAAAAAATATGTCTAAATCTGGACATAAAAGACATATGGGTGAAGTTTTTCTTGCTATTTATAGAAGCAAAACAAGTTTGAAAGCATCTGTGAGATTAATAGTTATTGGTCAGTGAAGAAAATAATAGTCTAATTCTGAGCAAAGTTGCTTTTCTTTTAATATTTTAGAGGCAAAATGAACTCTAATATGTATAACAGAAGCAGATGCTTTGCTGTTCATTAAATATTTCTTATATTAAATAATATATAAGTACAATTAATGATTATCGTCTGTTAATTTTGGAAGCTTCTTTACATCTTTTAGATAAAATATGAACAATTTTAAATACAATACAAATTCTAGAAACAAAATGGAGTAAAACAACAATCTGAAAGGCGTTTTACTGAAAGAAGATGCGTTAAGTCAGGGGTCTGCAACCTGTGGCTCTGGAGCCACATGTGGCTCTTTGGTCCCTCTGCAGCGGCTCCTTCAAGCTTTAATCTAAACTAACTGAGAACTGAATGTTATAGAATGTTAAATCCACAACAAATAATGACTAGTTTTAGCAGTTTTTCTGTAATTTTCGTTACAAATATGTGGATACTAGTTCTATTACACAGAGTAAATTACACTCACTTTAACTTTTGGCTTTATTTCTTCATAGTAGGATACTCAAGTTCTCCACAATAAAAAACAATTAAAAAAAATATCACATATGCCTGCACAGTTCATTGTTTTATTTTATTTTTTATTTGACAAAAATTATATATGTGTATATGTATATATATATATATATATCCATCCATCCATTTATCTTTTACCCACTTCTTCCGTTTTGGGTCACGGGGGTTGCCAGCGCCCATGTCCAGCAATCACTGTGCTAGAGGTGGGGGACACCCTGGACAGGTCTCCAGTCCATCACAGGGACACATAGAGACAAACGAGACAAACAACCATTCACTCTCTCACTCACACCTAGGGATGATTTAGCGTTACCAATCAGCCTAACATGCATGTTTTTGTTCTGTGGGAGGAAACCGGAGTATCTGGAGAAAACCCACGCATGCACAGAGAGAACATGAAAACTTCATCCAGAAAGGCCCCCGGAACTGGATTTGAACCGGCAACCTTCTCACTGAGAGGCTGTAAAAATATCAATAAACGTTAACGATCATTGGATGTTTTTATTTTTATAATTTAACACCTATACTGGTCAAAAAATCCCCCTCTAACAAACAGTGGCCCATGGGCCACCAGTTGATTATGACAATTGTAGCAGGTTTTTCAGCCCTGGGCACTTTTGATTTAGTGAACAAAGGGGCAGAAATGGCTGTTTTGATCGTAAAGGTTGCAGACCCCTGTGTTAAGATGACGACAAAGCTCAGAAACTCAAAACTGACATTTATGCCTAAAAGTAAACTTTTCTGTTTCCTGTCAGGATGTAAGGATGAGCTCACCAGTCCCGTCTCCTCAAAGCGCTTCTTGTCCGCACTGTCAATAACATAAATCTAAAAGACAAAACATATTACAGCTAATTCATATCAGAAGGTGAAACGTTTGACCTTAAACCTTTACAGTTTTATAAAACTCTTTTTGAAAGTAGACGACAAGGAAACGACTCACTAAGAGGTCTGTGTTTTCCAGGTACTTTCTCCAGAAGGGCCTGATCTTCCTCTGTCCTCCGATGTCCCAGACATTAAGTTTCATGCCGTGAGAAGCGACGCTCTTTATGTTGAAGCCCTGAAATGACCCGAACATCACACACGTTCATCTGAATCTGTTGCACCAAACAAGAAAGCTCTCATAAAACAACGAAACAGGCCGCAGCGTGGTTAAAAATTGATCGTTGGTTAGTGGATAGTGAGAATGGAGTCAGTGTGTTAATCCACAGCCAGTTCTCATAACGTCTCTGCGTTGACGCTGGCAGAGTTGTATAACAGCGTTAACCCAAACGGGCAGCTGAGGAGCAAATCTGAGGATAAGGCCAGAAGGATCAAGCGAAGCGCGTGGACTAATGTGTCAAGTCTGATTTAAGATTTGTCACCACCTCGTCCTGAGCCACATCCTCTCTGCCCAACGAGCTGTCACACCCGAGCCACGACCTGACAGCACATTTATTATTTTCTTGAACGAGTCAGATAAGGGCGTCGGGTAATGACATAAGAGATTTGATAATGACTTTAGAGCAAGACAAATGAAAAGTGACCCTGGCAAAATGCCACGATCTTGCAAGAAGATGTCCAGAGAGCATGAAACAAGGACGTGGTTTGTGTCCCAAATGAACGTTATTTAACTGCATGAGCTGCCATCCTCACATCGCACTGTGTAATCACTGCAGAGTAGTTTATTAAAGATTAGAGATAACAGATGATAGCTGTATGAAACATTTCTAAACAACAAGAGGAATGATTCAAGGGAAAGATAAGCATAGACACATTAGCAAATGTTTAAACTAAAATGAAGAGCTGTGAACAATTAATATTTTACCTGTTGCAGATGGCTCTTTGAAAGCCTAGTTTTAGGCTGGATTGACAAGCTAACAACTAATCTTAACAGGGTTAAAAAATTATTGTCTTATAACAACTTGGATCTATTAAATAAAAAGGGTGGATCATGTAAATGTCATGTTTCATATTACAATACATAATCATTCCTGCAGAAATGTTATAATATCCCTGCCTGGAGTGCCACCAGATGTAGTGGAAGTGCTACAGCTAGCTGTTAGTGTGCGCAGATAATCGTGTAAATAGCCACTTACAGTTTGCATAACTTGTGAAATTTTAGCCATTAGCTCATCATTCAGGTTAGAGCTCAACTCTATTTTTTTTTTACAAACTGAGGTTTTTTCGAAGAGCTATCTACAACAGGTAAGATATTTGTTAAAAAAAAATGTCTTCTTTAAAAGATCAGAACTATTGCTTTTTCCAACGAGCTTATCTTTGATGTTTGATCTTGCTTTATAAATCATCCCACAGAGTTATTTATCGGGAATGTTTTAAAGGGATAATCTCACTTTTAAAATGACGCTCTGTCAAAAAAATGCTCAATAGTCTGCACCTGCACCATCAGCCATTGAGCTCGGAGTGTGGAGAAGGGATCAGAAGACATTGTCCGGAATTGGCTAACGGCTAGCCAAACATGTTACTTTTTTACAGCTTTTGAAACAGCTGTTTCTCAAAAACTGGCGTGAGGGAACGCTACATTAGCTTGTTACATTGGTGTTGTTCGGAGAACGCTGCAACAAACTAAATAAACGGTCTCAGAGTAGAGCCTTAATATTAGCCAATGTAGCATTCTATCACATCAGTCATTTTGAGAAAGATAGTTTTAAAACCCTTAAAAACAATTGAAAAAATGCTCCATTTTTAGTTAGCCTTTAGCCTAGCCTGGACAACGACTTGTCTCACGGCTGATAAGCTGCAGACTGCAGATACTATTTGATGGAACATCACTTCAAAAAATGACCAGACCATGCTTTTAATTATCCGTGACTTTTAAACCTGCGTTACTTTTCTTGTTGGGATTATTGTGCAGGAATATTTTGACTTCCTCTCACCTGCGTTGGGGTGATAGTGTTCACGTCTTCAGAGGCGAGGCTTTTTAACAGCGTGGTCTTTCCGGCATTGTCCAGACCCAGAAGAACTATCCTGACCTCCTGCTCTGTGGACCCCTTCAGCTTCTCTATGACAGAGAGCAAGCCCTGTGGAGGGGTCAGCAGGGTCACGTAGAATTAAAAAAAAGAGGGAAAGACAAAGAAGGCCAACATTTCAAGCATCTTTCTCTATTAAATGGCAATTCTATTCAGTGTCTTGTTTTGGGGGAATCCCATTGACAAAAAAAAAATCGTTAAGGGTACCAGGGCACTCTGATAAATGAAAAGACAAACATGGCTTCCACTTGAGTCGAAGCTCTTCTTTTATTTGTTTTTGTGCCAACAATTTGCAACTTTTGTGGCTGCCATCACCATTCTGTTGGAATTAATCTGAGGTTCGAAATAGAAAGGCACTAAATAGAAGTCTGCTGATTAAACAGTCTGTTGTTGTTTAGTGTGATTAATCTTCCTGGTTGCCCATCCATGGTACGCATCAAGGCTTTGAACATCTGATTCATAAATGACAACGCTCGTGCGATTAACTACATCAAAGACATCGATGAAGGTGTGCACGCACACAGCCTGATGAATCTACGCCATTCCATCAGAATGACAGCTGCATTTGCATGTAAATAATCAGGTGAACTGTTTCATGGATTCCCTTATGAGCTGTGAGAAACTTACTGGTTGACTTCATGAGCCCATTTGGAGTAGATCAGGTCGCCTACCTTTTGAGCCTCTCCCATCTTGGTGTGTGTCCGGTGGCCTGGAAAGATGGCTGCAGCTACATTCTCCACTGAAACTCACACAGGTGGCGTATCGTTCCAGGTCAAAAAGAAAAGAGACGAGCAAAACGCCACCTTTTACTCTTTCCTGTCTCAATAAAGTCGTATAGGTCAAAGTGGTAACATCTACCTGGGCGTCAGTTGCTTCTTAGAGCCGCTGACTGCAACAGGAAGAGGGGGAAGGTGGTTGGGACCAGGATTAGGAGGCCAGAATTAGACCTAGACATCTATATAAAGGCCGCTCCCTCCTCCATACTTCCCTTCCTGAGCCCATCCCTCCTGGATTATCCTTTAGCCACCTGCTGTAGGAGGAAACCAACAGGCCCGCCCCACTCCGTTCACACACATAAATAACAAATAAATAAAACCTCTGCCATATGGCTGCCGAAAGATAAAAAATGCTGCTGAAAGACACTCAGAGCAGCGTGAGGGCTCAGCCTCTCAGCACATGAAATATAGGATTATATCACGGCGCAGAACGAGCGCTACTGTTTCTGATTGCATTAGTCAACGCTCAGATCCCACATAAACGGGTCTCACCGAGGGGAGCGGGTGGAATTATTGTTCCATCTATCCATTACAGGCCAGACGCTGGTAATCTGCTCTGTGTGCTCCTGTGAGCAGAGCATCCAGCCGGATTAGGGAGAATCTCCACGCTGAGTCTGGATTAAAACATTTCCAGGCATTTTTTTTTTCTCAACCAAGCAGGCCGAGTATCTGCACGATGGCCCAACAGTTGGAGTCATAAGTTTACATCCACTCATCACAAATATGAATCCATTTGATGCCTTTAAGGATTATTTTGAACCTTTTTTTGTAGGGTGGAAAGAAAAACCAGCATACAAGTCAAACGATTATTAAATTGGGTACACAAGTTTGAATTTAGTGTGGATTTTCTCTAGGGTCAAAATTATACATTCAAGCTCGAATGTTTGGTCAAATGTTCTTTAGGATAAACAACAAAGTCCATGCTCAATAATCCAAGTATAAAATCCAACATTTTTCAGTCAGGTCATCTGGACAGTTTCTTTTTTTTTTTTTGTGCTGAAACGTTTCGCCTTCGATCCGGAAGGCTTCATCAGTCAAGGAAACACAACAAAACTGATTCTTCCTCCAACAGCTTACTCCAAAGTGGAACAAACCAGCACGTTACAGCACAAAAAAAGAATCTGTCCAGACGACCTGACTGAAAAATGTTGGTTCTTTAGGATGTTTCACCTCAACCACACACTTTTGGTATCCATCAATAAGTCCTGGTAGGTCAAATGTTTAACGTCCTAAACAATTCCCTCTCCTCTGATATTTACCGAGAGCTAGTGTTGTAGTCAAGACCAGCTAACCCGAGACCAAGTCAAAACCAATACCAGAGTGTACCGAGACTAAGACAAGACCAAGACCAGAGTGTACCGAGACTAAGACAAGACCAAGACCAGAGTGTACCACGACCAAGACAAGACCAAGACCAGAGTGTACCAAGACTGAGCCAAAACCAAGACTTTTAGGGTCTGAGACCAAGTCAAAACCAAGACCTTAAGTCTTGGAGCGGAATCTTTTCACAGATTATCCGTACCTGTTTACTTTCACCCCTGCGACTTTACGTTCTATTGTCTGTATCGTTCTGTTGGTACAGAACCGTGTACGAGTGAAAGGGGGTGGGAGTGACAGCGGTAACAAAAACATGTATTTAGCAATGAGTCACGTTATCACCTGGATTTGAATCAGTACGTTTTGCATCCAATAAAAACAAGGATGAGAAATAAACTGGACAATATTCTGGCAATTTAGTGCTATTTCCACAGTTGTGGTCTTGACTGCTCTTGAAATAAAATCCAGTGTCCTCAATGTCCGAGACTGAGACAAAACCGAGACTAAATGCAGTTGAGTCTGAGACGAACCATCAAAAAGTGGTCTTGAGACGGTTCTCAAGACCAAGACCGGTCTCAAGTACTACAACACTACCAAGAGCATCAGACTTTCCCGTATTGGTCCGTCCGATAAATGCTGTCAAAGTTATCATATTTCTATGCCAGTGGAGGGAAAGTCCCTGCTGCAGTCAATCGTCCTGGGTTTTGTCAAATTAAAATTCCTTCTAGTATCTTCAGCACCACTTGTTAAAAGATTTACAGTAGGTGGATGTACTGAACCTGCAAGTGAGGGAGTTCTGCTCTGCCAGCTCCTGCACCCACACCCAGCTACACCTGTGGATCATCAACTTGATGAGCATGAGGAGCATAAAAGGCTGCAGAGGACATTCAGCCAGTGCTGGAGCATTACCTGCCAACGGTAGTCTTGTTCTAGCCTTTATTCATGTCTAAAACTAAGTATTAATGATTTTTATTTCTCTCCGTGACTCCATGAGTTACCCTTGATGTCCTCTTGCTTCCTGAGTCCTCCTCTGTGGACCTCATGCTCCTCTGTGCCTCATCAGCCACCTCCATGCCTTCCTACCTCTTGCCTAATGCCTGCCATTGTCCAGACGTACACCTCCTTTGCCTGGAACTGTTTGGGTCAGCCCTTCCCACGTCTGACCCCGACCTCCATCGTAAGGAAGATCAGCAATAACATTATCACACTTAACTACAAGATTCCTAATCACCTCTTTGCACTTTAGGGTTCCAGTCCCCTCCCTGTCTTATTGCATTATTTATCACATGTAAATATTCATTTTGAGTCTTGGTCTCTGTTTCCATTGGTCCTTATATCTGGGTATAGCCACAATCGTTACAGTGAGAGGTTTCGTCCCTCATGAATAAAATAAATAAATAAATCCACAAAAGTGCACCCACTTTGTTTTTTAAAAAGTAATTGAAGTTAATTGTTGAATACT